CCCTGCGGCCCGCCCGCCGGCGCCACGAGGACTCCTGCTCCACCTGCTCCTCCTCCTCCGACTCCGAGGAAGAGGGCTTCTTCCTGGGGCAGCCCATCCCCCTGCCCCCCCAGCTGCGGGACGCCCAGGCCCGCCGCGGCTCCGCGGCCTCCGGGGACCGGGATCGGGATCGGGACCGGGATCGGGACCGGGACCGGGATCGGGAGGGGGAGGGGGACAGGGGGGGCAGCCTGCGCTCCAGCCTGAGGAGGAGGGGGAGGGCGAACAGCCTGAGCCAGGACAAGGACAAGAGCTGTGTGGTGTCCTAACCACCCCCCCCCCACCACCTGCACCGCGGGGAAGAGTCTCAGCCCGACCGGTCGCCCGCCGGAACGCCAGGAAAGCTTCCGGATGAAAAAACGGGAGCGAACGGATGCCTTGTTCCACACTCCCACCACCCTTTGTGTAAAGAGGTGCCTCCTGGTTGCCACCTTCGAGCGCGACCACCTGGGCAGCTGGTTCCCTGACTCCCAGCGGAGCTCGAAATGGCCGTTTCCGTTCCGATCTCTGTGGGGTTTCCTGTTGGTGTGTCACACCCTGCTGCTCCCCGGCCTGTGCTGTGAATCAGACTGGGGACAGAGGCGTCGGCCCTGAGCAAGGACAGGATTCTCCACGGCGCAGTCGGCATCCTGGGCCTCTGGAAGGACTGAGCAGCATTTCCATTCCTCCTCCGAGCGCTTGGAGCCGCTGGCAATTCAGGGACACCATCTACAGACACAGTGTACCCCAGAGCAGGGATTCTTTTTGTCTTCGTGTTGCAGAGACGGAGACAGAGGGGGATTCAAAAAGTCAAATCTGACCTCGAACCCACCAGGACCAGGACTGGACACCACTGCAGACACACTGACCGGCCCTGCAGGCCCAGGACTGGACACCACTGCAGACACACTGACCGGCCCTGAGGTACTGGACACCACTGCAGGCATGCTGACCGGCCCTGCAAGACCAGGACTGGACATCACTGCAGGCATGCTGACCGGCCCTCCAGGACCAGGACTGGACACCACTGCAGACACTATGATCCAACATGGAACACTTATCGGTGATAAATTAGTTTCAAGTGCTGTTTTAGTACCGTTTGTCTAGTATAAAGTTGTTTTTGTTGGATTTAGATTTGGTTCTGAGACTGTTTTAGAAGATGCTTTACATTGGCTCCACTCCAATGCATACATGTGCTCTATACAAGATGTGTCTGTACATACATCAGGCAGACTTAGTATATATTCATAAAGGAAGACAGTGTTCCAGAATACTGATGCACAAGCAAGTGTACACACACACACACACAC